GATTAACTTTTTTCCACTTTAATGTCTTCATTTGCACTGTTCAGGTTATAGGCCTACTATTTGGCTAGATTTGCTGAGAGGGTTAAGGATAGCCTTGGTCTTTGCTTTGCACAAGGCAGGAAGCAGGAGAGATGCCAGCTGTCACTGATACTCATTTTGACCTCATTGCATTTACCCACTTGCCCCTCTCATCTCTCAACCAATATCCTCATGAGATGTGTCCAAAAGAATTAAAGTACACAAGACATTCATTTGTGCCACATTTTGTGAAATGCATGTCCCAAGTTACGGAGAGAAAGAGTAAACAAGACCTATATAGACAAAATATCCTGCTGCAGTTGCAGTTATGTTATATTCTGTGAAACATACTTAAAATAGCCTGTTATTTATGCATTCTTATGCATTAAAATGTAATTAAATGCATTTGGACAAACCTGACATTGCAAATAAAAAAAAGAAAAATAAAGTTTCCAGCATAGTTATATGAATTACAATTATATGCATTATTTTCAAATGTTTCACTTTTGGGAGACTTTCTCATGAGGTTTGCAACAGTGAAGCTTCTGTGCATGCCAGCATGTCAATAAGGCATGCAAATAACACCTTGCACACAAGCTGCTTTTTCAGCTGTATACTCAAGAGAGAGAGCCCCCTTCCCATTTGCTTCTGAATGCAGTTTGTTACACAATGTTTGGGACTTTAATATGTTTCACTTCAAAATACAGAAAATTAGCTCAGTTGGACAGCCATTTAAATTACATTGCATGTCAGTCATGCAAGTGCAAAGTGTCATATTCTCTCATACTGGCAGCTGAGTAGCACTGAATAAACCGAATGTCCCAGAGGAAGAACATCTTGCAGCTTATTCTTGAATAAATCACTCACTGAGACATTTTAATCAGGTAATTATTCATCCTTTCTGTCAGTGACTGGGGGATTCATAATGTACTCCAGATCTGCTGGCTCCTTGAATGGCACTACTGGGATCTGGTTAGAGAGCTGTAATGTTTCACCTCACAGGTTCAGAAAAGCACACACTGCATCTTTGCTAGGGGTGAAAATTTGATGTTTAAAACCAAAAATGATGTCTGCGTATGCACAGAATTTTCTACGAGTGCTTCATTTCACAGTGCTTCATAGACCCGGGAGGTACCATCATTATGAACAAGATATTCTTGAGTGAATCAAATATCTAAAAAACTAAAGTCCACAGGAAGGAATTGTCATCAGCAGTACTGGACAGTTAAAACTGAACAATACAGTATTTTATGAGGCAGGTTTGAAATAGCCCCCTGAGATTGAAAAAAAAAAAGAAAAGTTGTCGCCCATAGCAAGCTTGGCATAGACAGCCGGGTGACGTAAATCAGCATGTTTCTGTGTCTGATTTCATGGTGAACGTGTTCCTTTCACCTGAGGAATGTTTTTGTTCCTGTCCGCCGTTACGCCAAGCAAATTTGATTGGCTGCTTGTATGCCAGTGAGACTAACTGTGATTCTTTTAGAAAGCAAAGTCAGCTATATTTTCTTAACATGCTAATGATTTCCCAAAGCCTGTGGATGTGACATACAGCAGAGACCTGGCAACAATGGTGAACATACAACCTGCTGTTGTATGAAACATTCTCAACCTCTCACCTCTCTGCTGTTCAGACAGTGCCAGGCCTGAGGTCATTTTCCATTCCTTAATGTGTGTCAGTGGAGGGAAGCAAAGGTGAGTTTTTTTATTCAAGTGTAGATATATTATATCCCCTCCGGTATATGGTATACACTACAGGTGCCTTGTTGTACGGTTATTGACCTGGCCTGCAAACCAGCTGCATTGCTTTATTGAGATACAGCGTCATAGGACACCTGCAGAAAGTTCAGTTCCTGTAAACCTCACAATCCAAAACCCATTTATAGAAACTGCCCAGATCTGGTGTTGCCTGGTTCACAGTGGGTCTAATTCCCACCTCACCCCCAAGAAGGCCCTGAAGTATAAATATTTCCATCTCCACATGTTCTCAATTTTGTTCTGACTGAGAGTGCTCTGTTTTGTGAACTGAATGCTGAACTATAAGTACAGAACAAAATCACATGTGATTACTTTTTCTGTTTCTATGTGACACATTATAGTATGCGGCATGTAATAAATAGTAAAACGGAGAATGGAATGAAACTCACTGCCAGCAATGATAAATCACTGGAGGAGAGATTTCATAAATGTTCAGATTAATGATTGCTTCTCAGAATTTCTGTCTTTTGGAATTTTTTTGTTTTCTGGCTGACTTGGTGTAGATAGATCTGCCCATTTTAATGAGCATATATTTAGTAAAATCATATACATATGTGCATAGTTTACTTAAAATTTGATCAATCATAAAGTTGATCAAAGAATACTTCAGAATGACCATGGCACTCTTGTGAATTAAAAAGCCTTTATTATCAAATGGCTACATCCAAGAAATCTAAAAACTCTCCAACGCGTTTTGGCACAACCATTTGATAATGTAGCCATTTGATAATAAAGGCTTTTTAATTCACAAGAGTGCCATGGTCATTCTGAAGTATTCTTTGATGGACTGTTATAAACCCTGGACCAGAGAGCACCTTGACCTTACAGCACCAGAACCCCGAGACACACTCTCTACTATTGGACTTATAAATAAAAAATTTTTTTATTATTAATGTTCAATACCATTTTTATTTGTTACTTTTGATGCTCAAATAGTATACTGTATCATTTTAAAATGGAAAACAAATAAAGCTGTTTAAAGGAATAGTTCACACAAAAATAAAAAAATGCTGAAAATTTACTCACCCTCAGGCCATCCAAGATGTCGATGAGTTCGTTTCTGCATCAGAACAGATTTAGGGAAATTTAGTACTATGCTCACCAATGGATCCTCTGCAGTGAATGGGTGCTGTCAGAATGAGAGTCCAAACAGCTGACTGGACACGACTCCAGTCCATCAATCCATCAAAGTCTTGTGAAAAGCTGCGTGTTTGTAAGAAACATCATTCATCATTAAGGCATTTTTAACTTTTACGAATGTAAACCTCAATGTAACTTCAAGCCATTTGCTTTCAGCTAAAATATGAATCTTCTATTGATAATAGGCCTATTGCTTTCTCCAGTGAAAAAGCTGTCTTGTCTGAATCAGAGGAGAAATATGCACAGATCAAGCATCGTTTACAAGCAAAAACAGTCCAAAACATCTCTAAACAAATATGCCAAACAATTATAGTGTCAACAACTGTGTGTGCCAAAGGTGTGAGGGAAAAAAACATGACGTGTGAGTCACAGTCAGTGTTCTCTACGACCAAACAATGAAGATTAAATAATGCAGAATATTATAATATTCTAAAAATATATATTAATGATGCCAAAATAATTAATTATTCTCTGAAGTCAAAATAAACTATTAAACCAAACCGTTTTATAAAGGTAAATATACATATATATCTCTGGGATATGTTCAAAGCCACAATAATAAAACTGCAGAAATTATATATAGCATAATCTCAAACAGCTTTCTGATACCATCAGGACTGTAAAATGTATAAAAGCAGTATATTTTGCAAGTTGGGTGCCCAAGAAATTAACAAAGTACTTATGTTACTTATTTTTGAATATGTATAAAATATACTACAATAACTTTCATTTTGGGAGAAAAACATGTAAGAACAGATTGTAAAAGGTGATACTGATTAAACATTCACACATGTGCACAGCACAAAAGCAGACATTGAATCAGTCTACAGTTAAACACTATTAGATGCTATTTCTGTCTCTCTCATAACAACCTACAGTATATTGGAAACTAAAGACACACCCCAGACAAGGAGTATTTAACAGATGTTTGTCCTCACCTCAATAAATTATTTGGCTGTGCTTCTAAAATGTTCTCTCCGCTCATAAGCAGTGGGTGGAGCATTAATTTAAATCTGCTCTGGTCTGATTTATGCTGACAAAAAAAAATCTGCTGGAAAAAGATCTTTCACAAAAAAATAAAAAGTTCAAGCCACAATATTGCATGAAGAGTGACTTCAAGTTTTCAGCATGTGTTTTCAAAATGTAGTGAAGTCACAAATGCTTCCTTCAATAGTATGAAAGCTGGAAACCAGATTGATGATATCACGTCATTGTTTTGTATCGTATTTATTAACTTGTTTGTGTTGTTAAGAGTTTGGCCTAAGGGTGTAAATAGACATGACATGCTCAAACACTCATCGTTTATCTTGATTTATTAATTTAGTTATTGATACAATTAATTCAGTATCGTGTTGCGTAACTCAATTCCCAAGTTCTCATTTCCCAATATGGCGAACGAGTTAAACTTCAATCAGAGTTGATGCTCCAATGCACCCACAGTTAATATTTATATGGCCTGTTAATATTCAGAGAGCCGAAACCTCAGATTATTAAAAGGATTGACCCCAAAATGAACATTCTGTCCTGATTTACTCACCCTTATGTCATACAAACCCTTTATGACTTTCTTTCTTCTGTGGAGCACAAAAATGTCTCATGTTTTTTGGATGATGTTTTGGACCCCACTGACATTTGTTGTATGGAGTGTTGAAACATTCTTCAAAATATCCTATTTTTTGTTCATACAGGTTTGGAATTACATGACGGTGAGTAACCGATGATAAACTTTTAATTTTTGGGTGATCTATCCCTTTAAGGATCAGACGTAAAAGAGGAACTGCCATATTCAAGTGATGAACAGCGATAAGAAAGATATGGAGAGGTTAACTCCTGGACAACATGCAAAGGAAAGCTCCCTCTGGAGTTATTATAGCTACTCCCATAAGATCAAACATCTTTTTGCCCAGATCTCTCTTTCTATCCTTTCACCTTGACCTGAGGCAAAATTCTCATATGGGGAGACCCATCCCCTTTCCACACCCCCATGACAACTTCTTGCCCAACCAGCAGTAGAGGCTGTGACATTTGAGTACACATATGTTGCCCACCTCCAACAAAGCATTACTCACACTGTGACAGTCCTGAGTGCGGTGTTTAAAAAGAGCTTGCTTAGCCTCATGTACGCTCAGGAACAACCACAAGGCATCTTAGTGGCTGTGGAACATCTGATTTACTTCAAAATAATCTGATTACATGCAGGGGCAGACTAACATACACACCAGCATTAACATCAGAATGTATGTGCCCGGGGCCATGCTGGCCCTCTGCCTGTCCTGCTTTTTGAGTGGGAATGTGTTTGGTTATGAATATGGAGAGGATTACTCTGATTCCTACTATAATGAAATCTCCAATGGTGAACGCCTGCAAAGTAAGTATTTTTCAATTCCAGATATCTCTTCTTTTTTTATTTATACACGTTGCTGTACTGAAATGTTGCTTCTCATTTGACTTTTTAAAATAATCACGACTGCATGACAAATTATTTTAAAAACAGAACTATTGAATAAATAGGCAGTTGTATTTTTTATTTTTTTTAATAGGATTTCAGGTTAAAATGTATAAATGTAAAAAAAGGATAGTGTATTAGCTATAACTGGTCATCAGGTCTTGTAATTTTTTTCTCTATTTTTAAGTAAATTTTTGTCTTCACCAGTCAGTTTTATATGGTCTTGGAAGTGTGACAAATTAATATCAAAAATACAAATATTTCATGCTGTTTTAAAAAAAATCACATTTATGCTTTTCACAAGATTTAAATGTTCTTAATGTGTGACAAATTCATTTTAAAAGAACAAATATTCCATAAAATCTCTTAACTGATATAACAAAGCCACATGCAAATAATTATAAAAACAATTGCTAAATATTGCTGTTAAAAGTTTTAAATGTTGCATATCACACCACAAAATATGGCAACTTTTTAAAAATCTTTCATGTCAACTACTCAAATCTATTTAAATATCTGAATTTGTAATGTACAGTGCTATGAAAGCATAATGTCATGAGCCATGACCCATAGCTTTCAAAAATACAAAAGTGTTGGCAGGTTTCCTGACATCTGACATTTACATACCTTTCCACTGACACTCTCCTGCAAACCCAAGCCTGGAGCTTGAACATATTAACCAGAGGATACTTAGGAGCATCATAAAGGTTATTCATTTTCAGAGAACTTGTCTCTGAGAGTTTAGTAAAGTGGCAGTTAGTAATCCTTGTGGCCACTACAAAACCTTTAGCAGCAGCCCTGGAAAGAACAAAGGATGACAACAAGCCACAATCATGTTATTCATTACAAGTACATTATTAGATGATGGGTTTACCTTTTAAAATTGGTTATGTTGCACCAACACAGAGCAGTAAAAACCATACTCTTTGTTCACAGCAGGTGCTACACAAATTCCATGTCCGCCTCAAGACCTCTCACGCTGGGACAAACTTTTCATCATGCTGGAGGACTATCAAATGAAGCAAGACATGCTCTTGCAGCAGAAAGAAGACATGGTTAAGGTGGAGATGGACTCCATACGGAAGGAGCTCCATAAGCTTAACAACAACAACAACGTATGTGTCCAGGCATCAGAAAACACCTGTAAATGTATAAGTGAACAGATGAACCGCAATCTGAACCAAGCCATGGACCAGCTCAGAGAGGCTGCGGATATGTATCAAGCCCAAAACAATGAGACGCTGCAGCAGCTCATTCAGTACAGCAGGAACCAGGCCACCCGCCTCACCAGACTGGAGAGCAGCTCACTGCTGGGAGCAGGTCTGGGGCAACTGGCCATGAAGTCTTTCTCCACTTATCCAAAGGAACAAGAAGCAAGCAGTGCAGATGGTGGTAAGCTGGAGAGAGCGCTAATGGCCACCGTTGCGGATCTCCAAAGAGTACATGCCCAGCTAGTGCTTTTCCAACGAGCAACGGCACATCGATTCCTGCCCTCAGGTAGATGTTTCAACTGTAAGAAAACCCAAATCCATGATGATTTGACTGTTTTAAAATTAATTGAATTGAATATATTTTATTTAATTTAATTTTATTTTATTTTATTATTTTATTTTATTTTATTTTATTTTATTTTATTTTATTTTATTTTATTTTATTTTATTAAAAAAGGGCATTTTAGTTTAGGGCATGAGGAACAGACGGCAGACAAACACTGAAAAACTATTTATTTAATTATTTATCTATCTTATTCTCAACAAGGCTGAATTTAATTGATCAAAAATGCAGCAAAAACAGTACTATCGAGAAATAATTTATAATATATTTTAAATTAATCAACAGAAGAGACTAAAAGTGACAGTAAAGACATATAGTCTTACAAAAAATTATATTTGTAAATAAACACTGTTCTTTTGAACTTTCTATTCATCATTCAGAATGTTCTGAAACTGAACATTATTTACAACATCATTACCTATAATCCATGCAGGTTCGGGTTCTTACACAGAACAATCATTTCACTTCATAAGTCCTCAATTATATCATCAGGAGACACAATCTGAAGAATTCATTTTGTATTTCTGTAACCGCTTTTTTTACTCTTAAAGTGACGGTACCTATTGGCCTATATTTTATGAATCACCAAGGACCACGGTTTCAGCTAAAAATCTTCTTTTCTGTTCTACTGGAGAAATAAAATCAAATAAATCTTGAATGGCCTGAGGGTGTTTAATTTTTGGGTGAACTATTCCTTTAACGGGATAATCTACACAAAAATTTAATTTCTGTAATCATTTACTCACCCTTATGTCATGTATGATTTTTTAAAATGATTTTCCCCCCTGTGGAACACAAAATAATAATATTTTCATAATTTTCTTAGTGCGTTTGTCCATACAATAAAATGGTGCAATTTTTTTTTTTTTTGTATAGACAAAAACAGCTGAAACATTCTTCAAAATGTCTTTTGTGTTCCACAGAAGAAATAAAATCAAGCATGTTTGGAACAACATGAGGGTGAATAAATGATGACAGATATTTCATTTTTGGATGAACTATCCCAAAACACTGAAAAAAAGTCAATTATAGTTTAATATTGTGTATTATTTTTTCAATTTTAGAAAATAATTGCATTACCATGTAAATAAATTAGTTAAATAAGTAAAAAGCTAATAAATTCTAGCGGTGTGGCTCAGTGAGCATAATTAATGGACTACAAATAGAAGAACTGTTTCTCTGTTGTTCCAAATTTACATTTTAATGACTTAAGGTGGGGCAAGTCTGGATTTATTTACATCACCATGCTGGACATTACTGTTTACATTGTTCACTAATACAGATTTTCCCTCTTCTATAGTTTAGTAATTTACAATGTTTGTCTGGCGTATTGCTGCATAGGTGTTGCTCCAGTATGACTATTGCCAGTTGGTCCAGTCTGACCACAAATAATATAAAATGACCCAAACAAGGCGTGTGCGTTAACCATAGTGGCAGTAACTCTGAAATGGCACTCACATGTTTACATGTAATGATTATTTATTACAATGAGCAGTACTTTCCAGTGGTGTGTGAGGCATATGTTAAATGACCTAACTTTGTCCTGTCAACCTAAATATAGACTATATTTAACCATATTTAACTATAATCAACTATATTATTTATTATGAAGGCCTAACACATCAGTATCAATGACTGTATATTTAAAAGTTGATGCATATCACTTGCTATTTCTGCTTTACAATGTGGTTTAAGCATCATAAAAATATTGCTATAGTTTTGTAACATGACAATGGTATAGTGAAGTTGTTGAATGAAACAGAGAATAGTATAACATATGTTGTTCATAAAGTAATTACAATTATAGAGCTCATTTGGAAATCCAAACAGCTCGAATTCTGAATAATTTCATTTAAGATCATAGACAAAGAGGTTATAATATATGTGAATGCAAAATTGTTGTATATTTGCATAATATGGACAAAGTATTCCCAAAGAATACATAGTCCCAGCAAAACACACTTTAGGAAGAAAATCTTGATTGGCAGTCTAGGCTGTCATTGAAAAACCATTAAAGTAGTTTTGGAGTGTCTTTTTCTACACTTCAATGTCCCAGGGGTTGATTTTTTATTAAAATTAAACTTTTATTATATGAAGGACACATTCAACTGTCTTGGAATCTTTTTATGATCTACTCAACATTTATTTCTTTGCTACTTTTTATGAGAAAGTCTATCAAAACACAGGTCAGATCCTTGAGTCACAGCAGGATTATTTTGATGAAAGAAGTGTTGTGTCAGTGTGATATTCTAATTTGTGGAATAGTTTACCTGTACACATAAGAACTGCTCAGACTGTTGGAATTTTTAAGTCATTACTTAAAGGCACAATATGTACGATTTTTTTATTAAAATAAAAAAACCACTAGAACAGTGTTATATATTTTGCTGACTTGTGTACTTACATTACGAAGAATGTTTAAATCCAGAGAAATAAGCAATTTTAACTAGTGACATGGACCGTGTCCATTGTGTCATTGTGTCGCCTGCCAATGACGTCATAAACCCTTGATTTCCGGTTTTGTTTTGTAGAAAACATGGAAACACCAAAGACGCTTTAATATGTTGTGCGTTTTAATAGACCGGTGACGACCGCACAGAGTAGCATAATAACAGAACTTTCAAATGTATCTAGTATGATAAAACAGCGCTGCTTTTTTTCCCCCACATACGCACGACCGTTCATTCACAGTTCATTCCAGTGTTCATAAGACCATCACATCTGACTGGCTCTTCAGCTTTCACAGTTGATGGTCTCCTTCCAGCCATCAACCCATGTACTCCAGTCAACATCCTCATCCCAGATAACAGCAGTAGACTGAGCAAATGTTTTGTCAGGCCCGGAATCCTGGAATCTGCCTAAGAGGAAAGTTTCAACCATTTTTTCAATAGTTGGTACCAAAGTTCCCGTTCTTTAGCAGTGCACGTAGCATGATGGTGGATCAGCCTTCTAAAGCTCTTCTGCTCCTCTTCTCTCTCTGGCTTCCCCTCCTGACCCTATAGTCAATACTTCGTCCCACTTGTTCTACGGCATTCGTCGTCGTCGGCCCATGAGACGGAGGACTGCAAAGATCTCTTCGCATCACTAGTAGCATCAAAATTTCCATTGTGACATCATAATCACCGCAAGAAAAGTTCATGTTGGAAACTTCCTCTGTGTAAAAATGAAAGGATTTACAGTATAAACAACTGGTTTATGGTTTATGATTTGCAGTCATGTTTATGAACTGGAAGGTCTCAGCAGATTGCCTTGTGTCAGCTACCATCCAAGTTTTTCATTTGAATTTCATGTGCTTTAATTTGTAGCAGCCAGAAATGAGAATAAGACAATTCAATTTTTATTGTTTATCATTTCAAGTTGTAACTTTGTCACATTATGCACGAAGTGTGCAAATATTATTCAGTTGTGGACCTACATAAAATGCTATGTTATGAATTACCCATAGCAATACAATAGTTTTATTTATAATTTAGCCTATACGTTTGCATTTCACATCAGCAATATTTGAAATTTCACCGTATTTCTTCACCGCACAACGCTAATAAACACAATACGTAATCTGAAATGGGGTGGAATTTATGTTGTAGAAATGGTAGCCTAATTGCTTTCAGAAAAACATATAATAAATATCTGTGCCCCTAGGCGAGAAAACACTCTTTTATAAGAATATGTCATCTTTCGGATGGATTTCTGATGTACATTCATCTCTGAAATGCGTTATGAAGTACAGTAACTGCTGGAAGTAAATGATCTATGTCAGCGCATTGGCCCCTGGGTGGCACTGTACTCAAAAGAGGGAGGAGTTGGTTATAACAAACTGACTATAATGATAGTCCTTTGTGAATGACACGTATGAAAGTTTTGAAAAAGCCAATTCATAGCCATTAGTCGGACTTACTTTTTCCGTAAGGGATAAGTAGCCTATAATTAGAGCTAACTCGAGAAGTCTGCGAGAAATCAACTGGTGCGTCCTTTAAAGGGACAGCATCGCGAGGAGAAAAAAATAAACAGACGGATCATTGTGACTTTCCTAAACATTTACGTTACTGAAGAATCGGGTGGCACAGAGTCTTTACCGTCTACTCAAGAAGAGGAGGAAAGGATGGGGAAGGGAATTTGTTCGAGACGATGAAAATAATACCTTTATGCAAAAAAAAAAAAACATATATACAAAAATCTGTTTATATATGTTTTTGTAATAATTTTTTTTAACATCTTCATCTTTTATATTTATTATCAACATATACTGACTGGTTTTAGAATGGATTTATATGTACATGACATATATGTCCAAAATGTATATTTGTATGGGGTAGATAGAAATTTTTCCAAATCCATATATGTTTTTACTTCATATGACAATATTTCATTTATGGAAATTTAATATACATTACATTTGCATACGAGTGCTTATATGCAATATTGCCAAAGCCTCAGAATACATAAAAAAAAAAAAAAAAATCTATTTTTTTTCAGTGGTATATGATCATCATTCTAAGCTAGAGAAATCCCTCCAGAAAGAAAGACTTGAGCATAAGAAGGCTGAAGAGGGTAATGTCCTGTTCATTTGCACAATAATTGATTTCCTGATACACACAACCCACTTAATCTGGATGCGATTTGATAATGATGATAGATAATGAATGATAATGAGTCCAGGTTGTGCTGAATGCAGTCTGCTTCACCTTTGTTTTTAAAAGCCTCTATTGATTGTCAATACATCATAGATTTGCTTGTGTTTAAGCGGGAATCACAGAAGGCCCTCAGCAAAGAAAAGGTAATTTAAAATGTATGGTGTTTTAATTACTAATGATGTGTAAACAGGATAGAGCTGCTGTCAGCTGCTGTGGCTGCATAATAACTTTTTTTTTGACCTAACAGCAAGAAGCAACCTATCGACTAAATGCTCTGCAGACAGAGCATCAAATACTGAAGGTGAGATGGCACAATGGAAGTTCTTAAAAAGTCCAAGAACTAGTTATAAAAATGATATTTTAATTGTGGATGATGTTAAACATAATAATTCTGACATCTTTTGTATACGACTAAATCAGTCCCAGCATGAAGACTTGAAGATGCAATATTATGAACTTCAAGAGAAGAACCAGAATCAAGGGCAGGATCACGAACATGTTCTGGATGAGCACAGGCTGGAAATAGACAACCTGCAGAGGGAGAAGGAGGTTGAAGTATCCAGACTGAAAGGTAAATCTGTGTGAAACTCTTGTATGCATTCAGAGTAATCAGATTTAAGGCTCAGACCAAATTAATTTCCAGCCATATAAAATGCGCCTGACCATGTACATTTGCTAGAGTCTTTCATCACCAGATTTCCTCCTTGTAGAGAATGTGTACAACCTTCGAGAGGAGAACAGACAGCTGCGGAAAGCTCATCAGGACATCTACACACAGTTACTTGATGTACAGGTCAGAGAAACTACAAAGGAGTCGGTGATGCATTTTATGATTAGGGTTTAAAGGAAGTTTTAAAGAATTTTCATGTAGTATTTTATTTTAGGACAGATAATATTGCTGTTCAGTTTGTAGTCCTAAAACCTGGACTTTTACTATTCTAGACATACTGAAATTACAGTTATTCTTTTCGTCCTCACCATTTCAGGAACAGCACAAAACCCTGCAAGCTTCAAAAGATCATCTCTCACTCACATTACAAGACCATAAAAATGCACTTGTTGCAGCCCAGGTAATACACAGTCATGACTACTGTTTTAAGTTAGCCAGAATCTGGATGTATTTGTGTGTGTATCATGCTTGAAGTATATCACAACTGATTGCTGGGTATCCCAATACTTATTATTAACATTTAATATACAGTGTTTGCTATAAATGTAAGAAAACAATTTAATTTTAAATTTCTGATGGTATAGTCAAGCTAAACTAACCATTAAATACATCAAACATACACTACCATTCAAATGTTTGGGGTTGGTAAGATTTTTAATGTTTTTGAAAGAAGTCTCTTATGCTTACAAAGGCTGCATTTGTTAGATAAATACAGTAAAAGAGTAATATTGTTCAATATTATCATAATATTTAATTTATTATAATGGTGTAATTTATTTTCAGGATTCTTTGATGAATAGAAAGTTTTTTTGCTAACAATGTAAAAGTCTTTACTGTCACTTTAGATCAATTTAATGTATCTTTGCTGAATAGAAGTATTTGTTCGTTCTCTCAAAAAATTTTACTGACTCGAAACTTTTTAACCTACTAATCATGTTCTCACCTCATTTTATGCCATCACACCCTACAAAGACAGCTGAAATTTGCGAAGAGGTTTGAAATAGAGTTAAGTTTGTTGGAAAGTCATGCCTAGCAATATTTATATCTTAAGCATGTCTAAAGTCTCATATTATGGTCGATCTTTTTCTGTGCCTCAGACCACAGGTTTAAGCTGTAAATACAACAGATGTGTCATTCTGGCATTTGACCCTGTGTGAGTGATGCATGTTTGCCTGCCATTAACATTTTAATACTGACATTATATCTGACCGGATATAATGTGCCGCTGTGACAACATTCTAACATGTAAACTACTTATTCTTCCTGACCTTACATTGCAGGAATCATTTCTTCAGTAGGGTCACTCTATATAAACCTTTGTTCTCAAATAAGAATGGGGAATATATTTTATAACAATTATTTATGAAGGTTATAATATATAACATTATAAATTCAGTACATTTTCTCCTTGGCTGTTTATTTAATTTACATTTTACAGTCTCTGTGCTGAGTTAGCATCTTTCTTTCATAGAGTCGGCTCTCATACTATTTGACTTTCATTACCCAATCCATGCATCCCAAAGTATCACTTGAGAAATTTTGAATTCCATCCTAATTCAATGTTTGGATAAAGCTTCAGGTGGAAGAGCTGAGGCGATTAAAGGAGAATCGCAATAAAGCATCCAGTGCAGGCCGAGCTGCTAATATTGATAAATTTGCTACTGAACGCACCCGCAGCTATATGCTGGAGACAGTAGAGCGCCTAAATGAGGAGCTGCATAATAAGCCAATTCAGGTACAGAAGGAAATGTAACATACAACGTTAAAAGACTAACTCATTTACTATTTGGTTTTTTACTTTGCCTTTATTAGTAAGGAAGTCTATGGATTAGCCTACTGTAGACATGAATATGTGCTATTCACACTCTCACATCACAAATGGATTAAGTCTTAATCCTTTTTTGAAATTATTCTCACTTTCTATTGCAGTTGAAGTATATATTCAAAGGCCATTTGGGCTAGTTTGTCAACTCCAGGATGAGATGACTCATGTAACCTAATAATGTAAATGTGTGACTGTGGCTAATGCAAGTGTCTTATCATCAGGCCACACCACACTTTGGTCATGCGGATGTTTCTCCTTTACAGGTGGAAGGATACGAGGAAAATGGAAAAGGGTTATCCCCTCAAGGTGTGTTGGAGATTGAAAATAACAATGCGACCAAAGTGGCAATGAAGCAGCCTCAGCAAATTGATATTTTTGCTGAGGGAAACGGCAAGAAAGAGGAGAGAAGCACATCAAAGGATAGAGGAGGAGAGGATAAGAGGAAAAAGGCAGTGCTGGAACATTCCTTATCAAACCCAGTAGAGCTGGGCATTAACCCTCGCAACACGCTAAGCCAAAGCCTGGAGAAACAGACACAGACAGAGCCACTTCACAGAACCAAAGTACACTTTGAGGCTTTGGATACAGTTATCGCTGGTAAGGAAGGATATTTTTGTGGCAGATATTGGCATTTTCTGATTCTGCTGTATTTTATGAAGCGAAGGGTTCTAGCACAAAAGTCCAAAGTGCTACCAATATGAGATTTGAAAGAAAAAGAAGAAGAAAAAAAACA